TGTTCATACGGTTGATAGCATTCTGGCTTCATTAAAACTTCTAGATACATGCGATGATGTTGATACCACTGTAGTGTGCTGCAATAGAATTTGCCAGAATGCCTTATCAGGTGCAGCTAAAAAACTATATTTCGACAATTATAGTATGAAAACATTGAGTAACAATCCTATCTTGCTTGATGAATTAGCAATTATGAGGGACTATTCCAATATCATGCTTTGATGGCTAGCCAGTAAGCTTAATCCTTCTTCTGCAAACCAAATACTCAGAGGACTTTCTAGCTATCACTTAAACAAAGGTAACTAGGAAAAACAATAAGAAATGCACCTTGCATCTTTATGATTTGCATGATAAACTTTGATAATTCATCTAAAGCAAGAGTATCTTGATCTTATTTTCATCGAACTCTATGATTAGCCTGCCCACTGGTATTTCCGGACATTGCTGAAATTCCTGAATACTGTGGAGATTAAGTGAATAATGAGACATCTTGCTGCAATGCCATGGAGAGTTATATGTCTCGCTTGCAAGAGCAAAGCTTTATTAATAACTTGCAAGCAGAAAACTGTGCTTCCTTGCCTGTTATGAAGTTGCAGGGTGCTAACATATCGAGCAGCATGTATAACCTCTACCATATAAAGCTGAAGGACTTCTCACCTCAAGGTCTGCATCTATATCTTTTTCAAATATATGACTTTAGGTCACTTTTCCAAACATTACTTGCGGAGTATTTTTTCCTTCCATAAATTTGTGGATCATCATGGTGTGCAATCTGCTGAGAACTGATTTCCTTCAGCAGTTGACTCGAAAGGTAATTGTTTCAACAGATAGTCCAATATCATATATAACGATTATCTTTCTCTTTATGTTTTGATCTATAAGATACCAAATTTTTTCTTTACAAAAATTAATTTAGCAATGAATGTCTATTTTATCTTACCTGTGATTAGTTTACCACTTATATTCTCCAGAATCTGGTTGCCTCTTGCCTAGCTTGCCTTCGGATGTAACATTTAATGGAAGTTTTGGAATTGGATTTATTTGCGATCTCAATGATAACATTGTGGCTTCTTGGCCTGTGGTCCTTTTGTTTCTGCTTCTCCCTGCAATAAAACTAGCACATGTGTTGCATAATATAATAATGTCCTCTGCAGCTTATGGCTTGTTATCTTGAGACTTCAGCCTCCTATTTGAGAAATTCTCCTCTTTTTCTTGTTTTTTCCCTTGACCGGAGATCACATGAAGGAAGGAGAGGCTTCCTGAAATTGTTGTTTGGAAATGTAGGATTAGGTGGAGCAGCATTACTTAATGATGGAAACCATATGTCGATGAGCAAGGGGTTCTAATTCAAGGATGTCCTATTCTAGATTTTTGGAGTATTTGGACAAGGATAGAGTGAAAAGAGTAGATCTATATGAAAATGGAACTATTGCTATTGTTGAGGCAGTCTCCCGAGTTGGGTAATCGGGTGCAGAGAGTTCATGTGCAACTTCCAGGACTTCTGCAAGAGCTTCTTCAGAAATTTAGAGAAAAGAACATTGACTTTGCTGCTCACAATGCTCAAGAGGACTCTGGTTCTCTGTTGTTCAACTTGATTGGAAACTTGGCCTTCCCACTGATCTTGATTGGAGGTCTATTCCTACTTTCAAGGTGATCTTCTGGAGGGATGTGTGGTCCTGGTGGGCCTGATTTTCCATTGGCCTTTGGTCAATCGAAAGCCAAGTTCCAAATGGAACCAAGCACTGGTGTGACCTTTGATGATGTTGCAGGGGTGGATGAAGCAAAACAAGATTTTATGGAGGTTGTGGAGTTCTTGAAGAAGCCTAAAAGGTTCACTGCCTTGGGAGCTCGTATCCCTAAGGGGGGTCCTCCTTGTTGGTCCTCCAGGTACTGGAAAGACCCTCCTGGCTAAAGCTATTGCTGGTGAAGTAGGTGTTCCATTTTTCTCGATTCAGGTTCAGAGTTCGTAGAGATGTTTGTTGGTGTTGGTGCCTCTCGTGTTTGTGATCTTTTCAAGAAAGCGAAGGAGAGTGCTCCATGCATTGTATTTGTTGATGAAATTGATGCTGTTGGGCGGCAAAGAGGAACAGGCATTAGAGGAGGCAATGATGAAAGAGAACAGACCCTCAACCAGCTTTTGACAGAAATGGATGGTTTTGAAGGAAACACTGGCATTAATTGCGGCTACTGACCGTGCTGACATTCTTGACTCTGCCTTGTTAAGACCAAGACGTTTTGATAGACAGGTATAACTCCTTCAATGATTCTCACTCCTCAAACTGAGGTTTAATGGAAAATACTTGTTTAATGGAAAATGTTTAATTTCATGCTCTTACACAGGTAACCGTTGATGTACCAGATATTCGAGGACGAACAGAAATTCTGAAAGTTCATGCTAGCAATAAAAAATTTGATTCCGATGTGTCTCTTGAAGTGATAGCCATGAGAACAGCTGGTTTTAGTGGAGCAGATCTTGCTAATCTCTCAAACGAGGCTGCTATCTTGGCTGGCCGACGTGGGAAGGCAGCAATCTCATCAAAAGAGATCAACGATTCAATTGATAGAATAGTTGCAGGAATGAAAGGGACAATTATGACTGATGGCAAGAGCAAAAGTCTGGTTGCATACCATTGTCAAGCTTGCCTTTATTAATTCGAGGTGTTTTATCTCTCATTGAGATTGTCTCTCATTGCATTTGACTTCCTGTGTTGCAAGTAGTATACTTCCTGAGGTTCCTATAGCAACATCTGCTGTACTAGGTAGGAGTACTTGCTGATGTGCTATTAAAAATAGCAGGTCATTTCCTTTACGGAAATGAAATAAACTAGCATTCAGTTAAGTTCACTAAATTGAGTGATCTTTTTTTTAGCAGATATTATCCTTCTTTCTACGTCATTAGGCACTTAAAGATGATCTTTTGACCCCTTAAAACAATGAAAAAATGGATGTCCTGACATTATGAGATTTGTTAATCATATTCATCAGGAGAATAATTTTAGGTGAATTACCGGCTGATATGTTTACATTATCTGAAACCACATTCCTTCCTTTACCTCATTGTACAGCAACTGATGCTATATTTCGTGCCCTAGACCAGTTTCTGTTTGTCCTTCGTTCCTTTATTGGTTGCATATCACTGAGTTCTTTGTGGTGTGAACTCTGAATTAGGCTCAAACTGAAATCAATCAACTATAAACTGGAGAATAATTAGTTATGAATGTTCCTTGATTGAAAGTTATTAACCTTGATTTTGCCTCTTCATAAATTGTAGGACTACAGATTAGCAAGTTGATGCTTGCTTTACTGGCCATCTCAAACATAGTCTGATTTTTCACAACAAAATACCATATTAGATGACATATGCAAGTGCATGTCTCTTGCAAGACAAAGCTCCATCTAATTTTTTTTTTTTTTTTTTTTGGTTTTAATACATTTGCTTCTGAAAAAGATAAAAAAATCATTCCATACAAGTTTGATATGTTCATAGATAATTCTGCCAAAGAAGCAGACATAAAAGACTCAAGTCATGCAGAAAAGTTGATGTAAAAGCTTCTTCTATTCATTTATTCTAAATGTAGATACTTGGCTCCAGGAGGGATTTGAATGTTATTCCGATCCTTCTTTAACATGCATATACAATCCTAACCCCAATCAAAAGGTTAACTAAAGAATTATTAGTGGAACTAGATATATAATCGCTTGAAATGGAAATCTAGAAAAAGCACACACATAGAAAGACTTAAATTGATTGAGCGAAATCACATTCTTGGAGTACAATATGACCAAAAATTTTAGCATAATACCTCAAAACAATTTTGTTGCTAATCATGGAATAGTCACAAAAAACTGTATCGCTGCTCCAGTTACAATCAAGCACTGAAAAAACATGATCTAGGTAGGAATAAAAGGCCAAACATGACAAAAAACAGCAACTGTAATACAGCTAAAGAAGAAGCACGTCTTGGGAGGAAATTTGGTACTGGAGGACAGGGCTTCAATTAACACTTGTTTTGCAACATCACCTCTCTTGCAGCAGCAAATTTGTTTAGTAACCTGAGAAATATTGACGAACAACACTTGATCAGTGTAGTCAGAAACACAAAGCTAATTCGTCCATGATACTAATTCAGTGTACAATAATGTAAATTACTTTGCAGTTCTACTTCCTTCCAACTTATTGTGGCTCTCAACGTGAAATTTGGAATTTAAACATTTGCAAACATATATACCTACAGCTTTATCTGGAAACCCTCTTCAAAAAAGGGGAAATTCAAGACAACCTCCAAAACCAGGAAATGAAAAATGAAAAGAACATAGAGATCAGCTCATTCACAGAATAAATTAATAAAGACACTAAACTCATAAATGAACAAGAAGAAAGAAAGAGAGAGAAAATAAAATATTTAAATTTTGAAAATTGAGAAAAAGTATTAAAAAGCTGTGCACTAGATTATATCAATGATTATGAGAAAAGGGTGCGGTTTGCAATTCCTCTCCATCGGAAAGGTAGTCGGCAGAGGAAAACTTGAGCCTCTCCAGAAAAAGGGAAAGATAGAGAACATTCCACAGCATAAAATGAAAAAAGAAATTTATAATGACATTGAACTCAAAAATAAATAAGAAGAGAGAGAGAGAGAGAGAGAGAGAGAGAGAGAGAGAGAGAGAGAGAGAGAGAGAGAAACTATAGTACTTAAATCCATTTTCCCATCAAAAAGTCAAAACAAAAAATGAAAAAAAAAAAGAACATTATATGTAGTAAATCACGTAAATTAATTGAAGAAAGGGTGTTAGTAGTTCTGCACCACAACATTGAAATAACCAATATCGATTCCTCCGCAATAGAAAATCTAGCCTATTGGAGAAGTAGATTATATTTTGGGAAATTTCAAAGAAAGGGGATACTTGGTAAGACAAGACTAGAGGAAAGGGAGGAATCACGTACATGAAAATCAATCCGGATTTTGATCAAATAGGTGGCCTTTAACACCCTGTTCGAACTTCACCCCTTTCCTATGAACAATGGGTCAAGGGCACTTTTTGGGTAGGGACTGTCCCACTCTAATAATTCCCACCATTCTACATCTCCCCTGATTTTACGAAGAGTGCTGGGAGGAGATGGTAGACCGTTGGTGGTAGGAAGAAACAAAGGCAGCCTCTTTACCTTTGGACAATCAAATATTTCAATCTCCTTAATTGAATTGCAGATCATGGCTGCCTTGCAAATGTTCTTCAGTTGCGGCAGCCTATTCAGACTCAAACACCTTAATTTTGGAAGGATGACGGTGGCGGTGGCTCCACTTGAAGTCAATTGGATGCGTTCTCCTCCTCCTTGTCCTACTCCATTGCCATCTGCTGCTATCTCCTCCAGTCCTTCACAATTTTTAATGTCTAATGTTTCAAGATTTTGAAGGGTCTGCAGCAACTGCACTGTGAATAGCTGCTTCATGTTGTGACATTCATGAATCCACAATATTTTGAGGGAAGAAAAGGTGCCAACAGGAAGCAAATATGGTTCTGATCCTCCGTAAAAAAGACCAACCAGGTTTGGCAACCTGGAGAGCCCTAGTTGTTCGAGATCACGGAGTGGACTAAGAGACGAGACTTCCAACTGATCATGTGGAGAAGGAGAGGGCAATTTCCAGAGGAACTCTATTCCAACCGATACAAAAATATACAATTCAGATAAGTGGCTTAAATTTATAAAATTTCTAAAAACATCTGATAAGCACCTAATGCCCATGCCCTCACAATCCTGGATTATCAAACTCTTCATATCATCTGGCAGATAGTTCGATCCTCTACCAAGTTTACACTGATGGAAATACAGTTGTTTCTGGTAATAGACATAACCCCGATCCTTAGTTAAGATGTCATTGATATAAACATTATAGTATTTTGGCCACTGAGTAATTTTATAGAAGTCCGTAAAAGACAAACATCTTATGAAACTTTCTAATTGGTTCAGCACCTCCGGATCATTAACTTGTACCTTACCAAAGGGTGGCAATAATAGCAGTTGAAGACGGTGGAATTGGGAAAATGTCCCTTTTGGTATTATCTTTAAACCTAAAGTCTGACACTTTTTCAAGTTAAGCCTTTCAAGGTTGACCAGTGACCCCCAACCTTGAGGTAAATCCTGAATGCTAGTGCATGATAAATCCAAATCCCTCAATTGCTTGAGCTTTCCCAGTGGTGGCACAAACATGAGGCGTGCACAACCCCCCAAAATCAAAGCAGTGAGATTCACCATGTCTGAAACACAATTAGGCAACTCTGTTATATCTTTGCACCCTTCTAGATTCAAAACTTTAAGTCCACACATGTGCCGAAAGAATGAATCTGGGATTCTTTTTATGGAAAAATGGGGAAGAAGCAAGGTTGAGAGCTTAGGACAATTCGGTGACCAGCCTGGTGGAACTTCTATTTCTGCGCTTCCAAATGTATGAAAGTAGACTGCATGGAGATCTTCTGTCCATTCTTTTTGTTCCAGTATTACTTTTGAACGTCTCCATACAAAGCTTTTCACCAAGAAGCGTGGTACATCTCCACTCATCTTTAGTTTGGAGTTTCCATTCGTGATCCTTAATGCCATATCTCTGACCAAATCATGCATCTTTACATGGTCATCCCCTTTGGAATCTTTTGTTTCTTCCAGCAGGCAAAATCTTATCAGTTTGTTTAATATCGTTTGACCTTCATCAATATCCGTTTTGGCATCAGCTCTGCCCAAATAAAGAGGTCTATTAGTTCCTTTCTTTTTATTTTCCAATCTTCCGGATAAAGAGAGCAATACAAGAAGCAATTCCTTTGACATTCATTCAGGCGATTGAAACTCCATTCCAGGATGCGAAACACCTTTTTTTCCATCTCATCGTGCCCGACTGAACATGCTTTCAAGTCTTCCAATGCATTTCTCCACTCACAGATGTCTCTCACACCTCTCATGCTCCCAGCCACTGTGACAATACCAAGAGGCAAACCATCGCACCTTTCCGTGATGGACTTGGCAATATCTTTCAAACCTCGATCACAGGAGGTCTCGCTGCCAAGTGTATGCTCGAACAAACCCCAAGCTTCCTCTGTGTCCAAAGTTTTCAACTCAAAATTGCTTTGGCATTGCATCCGGTTGCACACGTCTAACGAGCGTGTAGTCAAAATCAATCTGCGATTTAGTGCATCAAGAGGAATCCCTACCCTGTCTAAACCAAAGTCTTCCCAAACATCATCCAATATGAGCACTACCATTTCCTCCATTTTCTCGAATGCGTCACGCAACCTACGTGCCCTTGCTCCTTCATCATCCACGTTTGACAGATCAAACCTTAGGCGTTTAGCAATGTCACCTTGCAGCTTTTTTATGCTAAAATCTTGAGAGACAGAAATCCAATAAACTTTGAATTGAGTATTCTCAAGGAGATGATTATGGATGTGTTCCGCCAAAGTAGTCTTACCCACACCTCCCATCCCCCATATCCCAATCCTTAAGATCTCATTGGTGTCCAACCATGCCGGGATTGTTTCCAGACCTTTGCAAAACCTTTTTCCAAATAATTTTATTGTCTCTCGTGGCTCACCTCTGCTCTCAGAAGCCTCGAGGCAAAGCTCAGCAAAATGATCACTATCACTTTGCACCATCAGTTGCTCTACAAACTTGTCCATTTTCTCCACTCCATCCCCACTGCTAAATGCATTTTTTAGAAGATTACCCTGTTCTACCCTCGTTTTCAATGCAACGAATTCATTCTCTATTTTTGCTACCTCCTCAAACCAATTCTCAACCTCCCTTTTCCTTTTCTTAGTACCTGATCTTTCTGCAACTTTCACTTTCGACTCGAAATCAATTTTCCTGTTGCTTAATCTTTGCAACTTCATTTCGAGCGACCTTAGATTATCACGTAAATGGTAACACTTCCTTCCTCTGTCGAATGCCAAATTCCCAAGTGCCTCCATTGTTAATTTTCCAGTGAGCTCAATTACCTATCGATTGACAAGAAAATCTCTAAAAATTTCAGTTATCTACCAATAACGTTGTTCAATAAAGGCAGCATAATAATCATGATGCTTCTTTGGAAAATTTTGAAACAGGGCATTTCCAAATTTAGTTTGACAAATTTGAACCCAGTTAGTAAACTAAACAGTTAGCCGATTAATGTTGGATTCTACATAAATGTATCCTCAACTTTTAATCAACGTTTCAATGATGCAAAGGAACTAATAGTAGTATTATTAGAATTTTCATTTTGCATTTATTTATCAAATACAAGTCCTATCATATCATAACTTTTTTGCGCTGAATGAAATGTTCATAAGTATACATGATGTATTAAGCAGAAACATTTCAGTATATGGTAGTAACTTTATATTTTTTGAGTACAAGTAGTTCTTCTTAGTAACATAATTTTTCTTTTTCTTATTTGAGGCAAATGGTATCTTAATTATTTTTTTTTATTTTTGATAAATAAATTTTTGGTAAATTGGTGTGTATGTCGAATTACTCACCACTCATTCCATCTCATTCACCAAATAGCAAGAGTCCAAACGACAAAATGGTCCAATTAAAGACCTCATAGAATTCAAGAATATATCAAACTTGGTCTGGACGTTGCTCAATAAAGTTCATAACACAATAGGTAAGTAGGGAAAAAAAAAAAAATCTTCCTCAGTCAATCAATATTTATGCAACTGTAGGCTTATCTAGGATTCTTCCCATTGGCAAAAATAAAATATTTACTACAATATCTGGAGAAATATCAATGTGATATGAAGAACCATGTACATTTTAAATCCCATCAATAAAATGTATCTAAAAAAAATTACAAAATATGCATGAATACCCACTTTATTAGTCTTTCAGATAGATTACTAAGGTAGTTTTGTTTTTCTTTTCTATCGATTTTTAAATTTTGAGTGAATCAAATCAAAAAATTTAAATGAAATAGGTAACAAGAGTTGTGCCTTAATAAAGTGTCGTGATAACAATGTTTCAAATACATTATTTTTAAAAAGGAGAAGAATAAGAAAAAAGTGTCTCAAAACTTGAAAGGATGGATGTTAATAAACATGTAGTGCTCTAATGCCTTCCCATTTGATAGTGAAGAAGAGCACAAAAAAGTGTAGTCGTCCAATTAGCTGGACTTAATGAAGACTGTTATAAAAATTTTAACAATTTTATAAGACTAACACCAAGATCTGGATCCGGTTCTAGACTGGACAAGATCCGATGACTTTGAATATCAATTTCCTCGTAAAAATCCACCATGTACCTAGATCCAATTTTGATGGTTTCGAGATCCCGATTTGGATCAACTCATTCTGCCCAAGAATCAGCCCCACTAGAGCAGTTTGTTTAGATCCAGGAAGCCGATAAGGTCCTATTGCTAGCCAATTTCATATTACTCTACGAATTTGCAAACGTAAAATTAATTTAGCTGCACCAAATATTATTGAAAAAAAAAAAAAACAACTTTCGAGTTTCAAGCTAGTAGTCCAAACATTTATCTTTTCTAAAGAATTGATATCAAAGCTTTTGCACATATAATAATATCCGAATTTCTTGCCAAACATTGTCAATCATATAAAAAGCTTGAAGAGAGCACTCCATGTATTGAAAGGAAAAAAAAAAAAAAAGTGGTCCAGATTTTTGGGCCTCAGAAATCTAAATATACAACTACAAAAATTTACAAGTTTTGATGATATCGTTGTACCTTGAAATGAGAACAAGTTATCGTCAAGAAGTTGAGAATCGCAAGATTCTGTCAAAAAACAAAAATTTGTATTATATTTCGACCTAATTTTCACTACTATAAGATCGTTGAGTTTTGATGAATGAATTATAATTGAAACAACGTGTTTGTGCCAAGTAATTCCATTATTACATGATGAAATAAGGAAAAAACTCCAAAAGTTGCAAAATTCAGATGGATATCAGGATATGATCTCATTATACCTGAAATTGATAAGAAAACTTGAGGAAGCTGAAAACCTTGAGACTGAGACTCTGCGAAAAGCATGTATTATGATTTTTGAGTGTTGTGGAAGGGATGGTAAAAGTTGAGCACCAATGACTTTAAGCGTTCATGATAGTGGGCCCTCGAGAAGGTCGAAAGGATGGGCACTGAAATTGCAATCGTTAAATTCCTCGATTATTCTTGGCCAAAAAAAAAAAAAAAAAAAACCTCGAGTATTAACCAATTTGCCTGAGGCTTAGTTGGCCACCATGCAAAATACAAAATACAACTTTAGTTACAGATTAAGAGCTCAAACTTTTCTACTTATAATAACATCCAAAAAGTTGTACATATTTTTAAATTCAGAAAGTATGTTGCAACTCTAGAGAATTTCACTTACTTTTAAATCAAATAATGTGCAGTGGTATAGATTCGCAAGTTTAGATAGACTATCTATTGAGTAGTGCACACTCTCTTCAAAGAATATCTATTACGTACACTAAATGCTATGATAGAAACAAATTTAACTTGAATACCATCGGTTTCCGTAGTATGTATATGTGTATGTATTGTTTTGCTTTTGCAATATGATTTCATAAAAACTATTTCCAAGCTATGAGAAATTTTAAGATACTGTGCTCCAGTTATAAGAAACATTACACGACTACTTAACTTGCAGGCATACTGATTCAGCACTCATGTTAAGTAATTAAGTAGTAGTATCTTTTAATAGCATACCACATTTTGTTCGGAAACTGTTTGAATAGAAATTACCTATTCATTTTATATAATTCTCAGAGAAATTGGTCTATAGAAAAATCAAAATGATCACAACTTAATAAAAACTTTAAAACATAAGCATGAGGCATGAGAAAACAATGCTGTCACCATGTTTTTTCATTTTCATATGAAACTTTGAAGGGGCTTTTCTTGGGTTTTGTATGTGAACAAATTTTGAAAAATGAGTAAAATGCAATTTTGGTATCTAAACTTTGACTCTTAAGTGATTCTAGCACCCAAATTTCTACTAAAAAAAATCACGGGTTGTCACATGTCCAGCAACGAAATTATAAAAAAGGTTTCACGTTTATAGCTAATGAAGTATTTTCAAATTGTTACTTCAAGCTCTTCATGTGAAACTATATTTCACAATTTTTTTAATGGTTTCATGATTTCATGGTTAAATCCATAAAGATTCGATTGAAATGAAGGTCTCAAATTTTTTTTCTCTTTTTTTAAATCAGAGAGTATGGAGAGGAGAAAGGACTTTTGAGCGTGTATGATTAGCTTGATTGAGTATTTTCTTAGAATAGGTTATTTTATTTTTAGATGAGTGATCCATGTTCTATTATTGCTTAAATTGGGCATCATTTTCACATTTTTTTTAAAATTTTGTTGTTGGAAACAGGACAACACATGAATGGTTGTTTAAGATGAAATTTGAAAAAATCCATCAAAAGTACCAAATATGCTTAAATATTATAACATAAGGTACCAGATTTGCTTTGGTCCAAAGCTTGGTTATCAAAGTCGCTCAAGGATCAAAATTGGATAGCCAAAACTACATTTACTCTTTTTCAAAATTTAATTGGAATGAGCCTTCTAACAACATAAGATCTTAGTCCAGCAATTAAGGTTGAAATCCAATAATTAAAGGTTTTGAATTCAAATATTCAATTCTCTCCTTACTTTTTAAGTCCTACCGATCTTGAGTTCAAAAGTTTCTATTTTGTCCTTACTTTTTTAATTCTACCTCTCTCATGTTGGAAAAAAAAAAAAACATAAGATCAATTAGTCAAGAGGAAGCAAATGTTCTTTGCAGGATGAGCCTGCAAGTTTAGTCGTTGAAGCGGTTACTTAGAAGGAGCTGTGGTAGTACATAGATGTTGCAGATAATTTGTTTTTCACATTTCATCATTATTAGTACCGAAGGGAAAAGACTTCCGTTGACGTTAACGACATTGTCGAGAGGAAAAATCGAGGAAGTTGCAGGGAAAAATAACATTTTTTCATCACTTATTTTTAAAATATTAAGGCCTTATTTGGATTGTATTTTTCTGAATTTTTTTATAGAAAAAATATTGTAGTGATTTGATATATATGAGGTAAAAAAATGATTGAAAATTGTGTTCACGAAAAACATGAAAAATTGTTGACCAAACAAGGCATAATTTTACATTTTTACAAATTCAAGTTAGTAAAATTTTATCCCAATCTAAGTTTCAATCACTTTTAAACTTGAAATCACTGTATGATTCACATGCAGTCATTTTTTTATTCAAATATGTCAAATCCCACCTTTTGTGAAGTAAAAATGAATATGAATTAGATTATATCCCACTTTTTAGCTTTTTTTTTGAAAATTTTTAAAAAATTTTGTTGTCGAACGCAAGACAGCACATGATTTTTTTTAGTTGGAATTTGAAAAAAATCCATCCAGGATACCAAATGTGCTTAAATATTATAATATAAAATATCAGATTTGCTTTCGTCCAAATTTTTTGTTACCGAAATTGATCAAAGCTCAAAATTTGGTTACCAAAACTACATTTACTCTTTTTCAAAATTTAGTTGGAATGAGCCTTTTAACAATATAAAATCCTACTTTAATGACTGATGTTGATATTTAAGAATTAAAGATATTGAGATCAAATTCTCCTATTTCCTCTTTTTTTTTTAAATCCTGCCCCTCTTCAATTGGGAAAAAAAACATATGACCTTCTAGTTTAATCTTTTTTTGGTCGCAATAATAACATTTTTATAAGCTAATCTATTCTATCCTATAGGAAAGAGGAGTCTAAAGAAAATATATAATTGATTAATCTATCCTATCTTACAGGAAAGGAGAATATAAAGAAACTGATGAACTAATAGGTAAACAAACTCGACCAAACTAAAAAAATACTCTAATACTTCTTTTAAATTTGTTTTATTATAGGTAAAATTTGAACGAGTTCGAACCGATCTACAGCCCAAGTCGCACAAGCGGTTGCTTAGAAGGGGCCGTGGTCGCGCACATATGTTGCGCGTGGTTTGCTTTCCACTTTTCGTCATTGCACGGACAACTAAAAGCTACCACACTCCACTATTAGTAGAGGGCCAGTGGGCCATCACCGAAGGGAAAAGACTTCGCCGTTGACGTAGACGAACATTTGTGATTTGTCGAGAGGAAAAATCCAGGAAGTTGCAGGGAGGCTTTTCAAATTTTCGAAGTGAAATTATTTAGGGAAGGCAACCGGCGGGTTTGAAGTGGGGAGCCTTCGCCTGTCCCTCGGTCAGCCTTCGAAAAGCTCCCTCAGCCTCTACCCAGTTGCCCCTGCAAGTGCTCCATGGGTGACCACTTCTAGTTTTATTTCTTATTTGACTTTATTTATATATGTACAATATTGATAATAAAAGTACTAATCATTCTTTTCAATTTTTAACCAAAAATTCAACATGAAATAAAATTTAAAAATTATTTTGATCTTTGTGAATTCATCTCTTCATATTTAGTTTTAGATAAAATCTAAATCATCATTGTTCTTGTTTAAAAAAAGTAATCTAACATTTAAATAAAATCCTTTTACCAAATAAATAAACAAGAAAGATTATATTATTTTACCACAATTTCATATTACATTTATATATATATATATATATATATATATATACTATGTCATCTATTTTTTATTCCACAAATATATATCATTTGTTATGAAACAACTAAAGTGTGGATGTCCCTTTGTATTCTTAAGAGGATTAATTCATGATTTATGACTACATTATGTATAGAAGTTACAATCCATAAATCTATTCATGTAGTGGAGAAACTATTTCATAGGTTTCTTCATATTCTTGTAGTAACGAGTGTTTAACAGGATTGATGTAACTTTAATCTTGTAGTACCTATATATAGAGGTACATTGACACCCTTTGTGAGGACTTTTGTATTAGTTGATATAAGAAAATCACTCTCCATTCCTCTACTTTTCCTCCAATATTTCAATTCATATTATAGTATTTCATTTTATTAGTTTTATAATACGTTATCAGCACGAGTCTCTATTTTTGAGTAAAAGGTGAAAACGGAGCCTCTACCTTGAGTAAAAGTGAAACAAGAGATTCTGCCCGTATTTTTTTCGGCAACTTCTATCTACTTATTGAGGTAAATTTTTGACACATAAATTTATTTCAATTTCTTATGGCTAACATTTGAATGATCGAAAAATACAAGTACCTATTGCTGAGCAACCATTAAACACAAATATATACTGTTTGACATCTTTAAGGTAATATTTTTTCTTTTAATTCTACTTATTTATTTTTAGAATTATTTGTTATAGATACTTATATTTTGATGCAATGAGTTTGGGAGATGCTATTATAGAAAATCAATTATGTTTGAGGATCCACTTGTCCTTTAAAAAACTTAAAGAAAAAGATTCGACCACCTGAAGATAGTCGTTCTTTAACGAAAAGATTTGGCCACCAGAAGATGGTCATTATTTCAAAATCTGGTATGATAAATTTACTTATGGTTGCAAGTGCACAATTCTACTATATTTAGAATTATTTCTTAATTGAAAATAATATTCTCTACGTATTTCTCAAATATGCTCTTGTAGTAACAATATTGAGAGAAAATTTGAGAAGTATTTTATACTTATTGCATGCTAGTTCTAGTCCACTCCCAGAAGTGAATGCGACTAAATTTCAATTTATAAGTTATGGTTGCTGCAATGACTATGATTTTGATAAATATGTATTTTACTATGACAAGAGAAAAAGTTACCACTTGAAGTGGGATAATAATGATAAGGACAAGAAAGTAAGGATCCTAAAGATAAATGTCTCAAAGTACATTTGCGGAATCAAAATTATAGTAGCATTTTCACATGGCAAATTTCTTTAAACGCCCTGAAGGTGTATGATGATTGATTTAATTTATTATAGTAATTGACTTTTTTCCTGAAGAAGAAATGGATGTTAAATATTTGGGATCAAATGATTATGGTGATTATATTTGTTCCATAAGAATTATGGTGACAATAATATGTGTCTCATTAATAAATGCTACTATATACACTAT